AAAAACCTAAAACAACTAGCTACACTATAAGAACTCTAACCACTACTAATTACTATACTACTCCTCCTCCTCCTCTCTTACCTTCGTCTCTGTCTACGCTCCTCCTCCTCACACACACACACACACACACTCTCTCTCTCTCTCTCTCTCTCTCTCTCTCTCTCTCGCATGCCTCTGTTCTAGGAAGCCTTTTAACTCTACAAAGCCCTTTGCCTTGATCGTGCTCCTATCTCTGTTGCCCTCTTCTCTCACTGTCAAGCCTCTTGTTGCCAGACCCACAGGTGGTTCTTCCACAAACCAGGTGAGTTCTTCCTTGCCTTCTCTCTCTCCAGCCACACATGGTTCTTTTATGTTGCTCAACCCATAGTTTATCAATAAACTCTCACCCTAAATAAAAAATAAAACCCCATTTTCCCCAAAAACAAACCAACATTTTTTTTTCAAATCCCAAATCGAAATATTCTATAAAACCCTACGTTTTTCTTCCTAATAAAACATCAAAAGCATGAGAAAAAATCATAGACAGAGAAATCTTTGATGGCCAAAAAATCCAAAAGTGCTAGATACAAAATCCTCATTCTGAGTTCAACGATAATGCTTAAACCATGGAAGGGACCTTGAGCTCGTCAAACTCTATGAATATTTCGACTTCCCTTATCTATTTTGATCCTTCTTTTCATTGCTATATAAAGGTTTTATTTTTGAAATATTAGGTATTATATGTATGGAAATGGGGAATGTGATTATGTGCAGTATTTTTTTTATTTTGAACATCTGCATTTTCTTCTTACTTTAGTTTTTTAAACTCCATATTTTCTCTGTATATTCTTTACTATGAACTTTTTACAATAAATATTAGGTTAAACTACTTTTTGAAGAAATTTTAAAACCGGATCGGGCTGATTCAGCAACATTGTTTGAAATTTTAGGGAAGGTAAGTGTTTTTTGAGGGATTTTTTGGGACGGTAAGTGTTTTTTGAGGGATTTTTTTATTAATATATCAAATTTGGTTGCTGAAAATGACCCAAATGTTGAGATTCTTCATAGGTTGGATTGAATCAAATTATTTGTGAATTTTTACAATTTGTGTCTATACCTCACTTC